AAGTGAAGAAAATCTCAATTATTTTAACATAAAAATATTCATTGAACTTTTCGTGCCAAATATGTTAAAGTATGCTAGAATTCATACGGTTTAAAAAAAAATAGAATAATAATCAAATGCGCTATGTAGTCAAAAATTCTCCCAGATCTAAATATTTCTATTAACTCTTTATATCTAAGGTTAAAAAGGAAAAATGATCAACCATAAAAAAAAAATTCAAAAAATGAGAGCAAATTGATTTTTTTTCAGTAGATTTTGCAAAATTTCATAATTGTTGCATAATGTATTAAATATTTTACGCATAGGGAATTTCATAGTCATCCATATAAAAAAAGTGCAATATTTTCGAGCAGTTATGATCGACATTAAATATACTTGAAATGCTATGTATATGTTTACTCATAATTTCGAATAGGCATTTAATACATCAAGAAAAAAATATTATTAAAATTAATCTTACATTAATTAGAAGGAAAAAAAAGTTTTGAACTGATTTCTATAAATGAGGCTCGATTTATTATGTATTAGTAATACGTACTTACTACAGGGTAACAAAAAAGTATAGGGATCACTTTTGTAGTCATCTACCACTAAAGTTTTAAAACCTTTTCACATGTATAGCATACTGATCTAAAGCTCTGTTATTAGACTTTCAATTGCAATACTATTTCATAAAATCATAAAAATGCCTTTGAAGAAATTTGACAAAAAGCTGATTGGTCTAGTACAAGCATTTTTAGAACTTCGATGGAGCCACAGGATTATACAAACCCATTTCAAAAGGAAAGGTATTGTGATTTCACTCAGCCATATCAGTTGCATCAAGAATTCAGAACTCGGATCGATGCAAAATAATGCAAAACCAAAAAGAAGTGGACAGCCAAACAAATTGAAGAAATCAGATTTGCAGAAGCTTGATAAGATGACATCAAAACCGGATCCACCAATACAGACAACCATGGCTAAGGCTCTTAACGTGAGTCAGCAAGTTGTAAGCTATCAACTAAAACAAAAGTCGAAGAAAAAATACCCTAAAAAACCTAAATGTCATCATTTAAGTGAGAGATCTGTGCAGATTAGGAGGCAACGTTCATGGCCCCTCTACAAGCCTCTCCATAAGGACAGATGGCGAAAGTTCATTACAACTGATGAATCTTGGATCTATCTATCTGATACCAATGCTAAATCTAAAGTTCAATATCTTGCCCGTGAGCAGAATAGGCGAGACTTGACACCCTCAACCACGGTGCCTCATTCCAAAGGCGTAATGGTTTGGATGGGCATATTCGCCCATGGTGTGACCAAAGCTCGGTTAGTGAAACCTGGGGCCAAAATAAATTCTGAGTATTACATACAGAAGACATTAAAGCCCTTTCTTAAGGATGATTACTGCAGATTGTACCCTAATGGTGATGCTGTGTCTTCCATTAGGACTCTGCCCCACCGTATGCATCTAAGGTCACCCAGAAATTCCCTACAGATCAGCAAGTGCAATTCCTGAGACCAGAACAATGGATTCCAAACAGTCCTGAATGCACCATGCGACTACTTCCTATGGAGACATCTGAAAAACAAACCGAATAAGCGAAGAATTTCTACATTGAGAGGCTTTCAAAGAGCTATTAGAGAAGAGATGAAGAAAACCCCCCAGGAAATCATTTTGCGGGCTCTAAATTCATGGTTGAAGCGTGGTAGACAAATCTATTATGCCGGAGGTCGACATATTGAGAAGCATCGCTAAATTTATGTAATAAATCTTGGAAATAAAAACATTCGAAAATGATCCCTATAATTTTTTGTTACCCTGTATTTAAATATTCAAGCAAGCGATAATCCGTACGAAAATTTTATTTTCAATAGGGATTTTTTTTAGAAAACTTAATTTTAGAGAATTTTCTAAAATGTACAAAAACCAGGAGAATTTCAATTAAACCAGAAGAAACTGGCAAAATCCTGTAGTCTATTGGAAATTTCAGTAGAGTTGGCAGCTATGTTCAATGTAGTTTTCAGTTCCACACAGTTTTCTAACTTCAAAGTTCTTAATCTATTTGAAAATCAAGGCAGAAACTACCGTATTTCCTTTTCCTATAACTCTCCACACGTTAATGGTGTAAACATGCGAAGTGTTGGCATTGGTTGAGAGTAGGACTGGGCGATATTAGAAATTATATATCGTGATGCATCGTCAGTTTTGTATCGCGATATAGTATTTTTGAATTTCATTTACTTGTAAGGCACAGAAAGTCAGATTTCTATTGATTTAAATTAATTTATAAGTTTGAAGATATATATGTTTTGCTTAAGAAAGATATTAAATAAATTGACTACTATGCACAAAACTTACTTAAAATATTTATTGAAAAAATGTGTAGATACAGAATGAAATATTTGCACCTCTTTATCGTTTATAAGGTATTAGCAGTCTAATTAAGTACCTAATTATCTAAATTATTAATTAATTAAGGTAATTATTAGATAACTTTACTAAGCTTTTAACTAGAAATAAAAGAAAGTTTAAAACGATAGGTTTATGAATTATTTGAAAATCAATTAGTTTAAGCGAATGAAATTTTGAAGAAAAAAAAGTTTAAAGCCATAAAAAATTATTTTACTAAATGAGTCATATAAAAATAACTTTGATAATTACATAATTNGTTGGCACTTGGCTCCGCCTTCATCACGTGGTATCGGATGATACTATTTCGCTATTTTGGGGAGAAGGATGAGAACAAGGCTGCTATTTGGCGATCTTCATGTACATATTTTGAACATGCGCATTTTATTTCATATACTTTTGATAATTCTCTCTTTTTATTGAATAGTTTCTTCTTTTTGAGATATTTTGCTGGGAAAAAGTTTTTAAATATGACGAAAGGTATAATAGCTGATGATAATGTAAGTAAGTGACTGAAAAAGAATTCACTGTTTGTGTTTGGCCATCACCTTCTACATCAGAAAGCTTCCACACGGTTTCTTATAAGTAGCCTGCGCAGACTATTTTAAAAGTGAACAGTTTGAGGGCATGAAACCAAATTCTATTTTAAAAGTGACTGAGAGGAATTTGTCACTGTTGAGAGGAATATTTGAGAATTGAATCTGTAGTGGTAGACAAGTAAATAAGACAAACTAATCATATTCAAAAATTTAAAAAAAATTCTAGACATATATTTGCTACCACTTTTTTATTTTTACTAGATTTTCTATTAAATGGTTCTTTCGTGAACTGGTTTGCCATCATAGTGGTCTGATTGAACTACCTATAAAAAACCGTGTGGAAGCTTTGCACGCATTAGAGGTTATCTCGATTTCATGCGGGGATTTGTTTTTCCTCTTACTCCCCCGCGATGAAATGAACTCTGCGTCGGAGGAGGTGGAGCCAAGTGCCAACTCCTGGTGAACGAACTATACATCATCCCAGTACTGTCATCTATCAAAAAACATTTCAATACTGCCCTCTGTTGAATAAAAATATAAATAAATGAAGCATAACTTCTGAATGATGAAAAAATATATATAGTGCTGTCATTATATTCATCAGGAACAAAAAAATTTTCCTCGCCGCATAGGTCTACTTATGCAGACTTCAATATCCACCGAATTAAGTAAACTCCTTTAACGGCCAGGATAGCCTGGTTGGCTGGGAACTGCTCAAGCCCAAGACTTCGTGGGTTCCCATAACAAATCCTCTGGAGGATCCATGTCTTCTGGATTGGTTCAAAATTACAAGGATACGAAGGATACAGAGTTGAGCATTAGTAGTCGTAAACCCGAAATTGGGTCGTCAGTTCAACAACGGATATAAAACTCCTTTAAAAACATTTTGAATAAAAATATTTTCTCTCATGATATAATCCAATTAAAATGTTATCTTATTATTTTTCTTTAATTTTAAAGTTATTATCTCAACACATTTCAATTTATACCTTAAAAATATTTTGATTAATTAAATTTCAAGGTTTAAATATATTTGTAATAATAAAACAGATTTTCTTGCAGCTATTAATTATTTCAGATTTATATTGGATAATAAAAATCTTCCTTTTAATTTTTATAACTATAATCTTTTAATTCAAAATGTTTGACATAATTTATCTTATATTAAATCCTCACACATAAATTTATTCATTTTCCTCCTACTGTGCTCAACCTGGTTGACAAAACAGAGGGTACCTTATATCAGTTAATTAAAACTAAATTCCTAAAATTAAAGCATATAAAATTTTCAACATTCTAATGAAACATTTGCCACTTTTTTCTAAAGATCGCAACCATATTGGTAAAAAGGGAAATTTTTTGTTCGTTTTATTTTACTTAACAACTTATTCATAAAAATACTTAAAAAAAAAAAAAAATATTGAATAATGCTTTGCCTAAAATGTTTTTCTAAATTGTACTAGGGCAATGTCAAAGAGATATTACATCAAAGCAAAGAACATTTTTAATATTTTCTTAAAGTTACAATTTATGCAATATTAATTAATAAAGGTTATTTTTATGATCACTTTATTCCATCTGACTATACATGTTAAATAAATCCTTTTATTAGGTAGAAAAATATATAACCTTTATTTTTAGAGTTAATCTGTACACAAGCTGTACAGAAGCACAACTCGAAGGATTTTAATTTTCTTTGCCAATAGAAATAAAAATTTTTTTTGAATAATAAAGTGAGGTAGGTAGAGTACTTCATTTATGTCACACTAGAGCTGAACAATGGGCTATTGGCGATGGTCAGAGAAACAACCCTGAGGATGATCCATCGACCATTTTGATCCCCTCTGCCCTGCTTTGGCAAAACGACGATCTGCACTCGAAGTCGTGCACTTTACAGTAGAACAGTCTAACGAGGACTGATATCCTGCACCCTCGGTCTCAGCGCAAGCTGATCTAAGTGATCACCCACCCGCTTACTGGCCTCAGTCAGTGATGCTCGACTTTTGTGTTCGACGCGGAACTGTGTCTTTATGGAATAATAAAGTGACAATGAAAAATCAACAGCATCACATCATAAAACATTTTTATTTCACATTTGTCGAGTCTCACACACAAAACAACTATGCCAATTCAAAATATATTTTAAACATCACAGGGTGGTACAATAAATAAGATTCTACTAAATCCCATTATTAAACAAAACCAAAATTCTTAGTCTTAATCGCGAGTAAGAGTTTGGAACGCAGGATTGCTTTTGAAGAATAAAGAGGAATGTACAGTCTAGATATACAAGTGTTAGCAGTAGGCAGGTGCTGGTCATCAGCAGGTCGGATAGTTATACTTGGCATTGGCTGGAAACCTTCCTCGCTGGCAGGTAGGGCAGCACTGCCAGTCCAGAAATACACCTACAAATGAACGTTTCACTCAACATTATAACACTCTATAATAATAATCATAACCCTATAATAACACTCTTGATTAAGAAGGATAATAAAATAATTTCTTGTAAAGACCTGCACCAACAAAAATTTTTTTTTTTGAGAATCATTTTGTCCTGTGACTTCTGACGCTGCTGGAAATAAAGCCCCGTGTGTGGATCTTACCGTTTCTTTGATTCTCAGTGTATTTCTGTGCCAACTATAGACTTATGAGTGGATATTAACCCCTTCAGGACTGGTGGAAGGAGCGCCTCCCCTGGGCCTTTATCATTGCTAAAGAGCATGTATAGGCAATGAGACGGAAAATGAAATACCGAATCAAGATCATTAAACCATGTAATGCCCATTTGTTTGATTTAATTTCAGTATCGTCTTTACATATAGGCACACTAGGGCAGGGCCCAAGAGTATCTTACTTTTTAACAAATTGTATTTAAAAAAGCTAAGAATAAACATTACCTTATATTTTTTTTAAATAAATATATTCTATTTTATAAAGTGTGAATTTTTTATAAACAATATACAACAAGTATTGATTTATTACCATGCAAACACCAATAATTTAAATAGTTTATCACCAAGAAAACTTAAAAAAGTCAACAGAAATCTATTTTTCTACGTTACGATGAAAATTTTACGTACTTCGGCATTGCAATATGTTTTAATTGTTTAGTTTAACAAAATAATTCATACCTTTTGAATTTTTTCTTGATTTGTTATACCTTTATGTTTATTTAATTTAATTATTTTAATTAACTTACAGGGTTTTAAAAATTATTATATCATCTCAATTTTTCTTTAAGTTACACATAGTTTAAAAATGCTTTTTTTGGGGGGGGGTAATCAAAATGTATTAAAAATATTGCATCATATCTTAGAAATGGTTTATTTTATGCAGATGAAGTTTTTTAGTTTGTTTTTAACCATTATGGCATGTTATAGGGATCTAAAACATTTTCGTGCCCGGGGGCCTTCATACTATTAAGATGGCCTCGTTTAATTTGACTAATTCACTTGAATATGGGATTCTAGAAGAGCCAGGATTACTATACATTTTGCATTACAAGACATAAATGTATTTTTAAGAAAAATTGAATAACTGATTGCCTAATGATTATGTCCTGTCTGTTAATCAATAAACTAACTAAAATAAATTTGAATTTCTAGAGCTATATTTTTTACAACATAGTTACCAATTTCTATACTTTCTAATCAGGATTTTTTGAGATGTGAATTAACAGTTATTTTGCTATTCTTTTTCTTGAGTAATTATCAGGATTTAAATTTAAGCTATTTATTTGTAGGTGTCAAAACAGTTTCAAATGCACATATTAAAAAATATTTATATGCACATATTTTGTTTCCACTCTAAATATAAAAAGCAACTCTCACAAAAAATTCAAGAGTGTTGGTAGTCATATTTAACTCTGTTAGTCTGAGAGCATCAGAAGGCTTTAGTGAATTAAAAAATGTAAGATCTTTGCAACACCATTACAGTAGTAAATATCAAGTTCAACCACTATTTATCTCAAACAATATAATCAAGAATAAGAATAAACGATTTGAAGTCCTATCTGTTATGAAGTCCAACAACTCTTTTCCAGTCGAAAGACGTAAGAGTGCAGAAAATTCTCAGAGCCTAATATTCCCAATGAACAAAATTTCCTCAAAAATTTTAGCTTTTTTTCTTAGTACAATAACATTTTGAAAAATAAAGTTTGCACAAAAAAAAAGATTCATTTGATTTTTACAAAATTTTTGGATAAGTGAGTATATGTGTTATAAATTAATAGAAATCAAAATATACTGAAAGAGTAATAATTTAATAAATTAAAATTGAATAAAAATACAAGTTGCCAATAACTAGTAAAAACACTTTAAATTACCAGTGTATATATTAATTTTTACACTCTCATTTATACTTAAAACATACCAGGAATCATTAATTTTTTTTTTTTTGGATGATGAAACTGTGGAGTTTGAAATATACTGCATTGTAAGTGAGACATATTTTTGATAGCAATGAACATTAGCTCTTTAATATTATAATTTTTTCTCTCCATTTGTTTTTTAAAATACAATCAAAATACATTTATTTAAGAGCATTTATATTTCTAAAACAATATTTACATGCTTTTTAATGAAATCTACACGAATTTTAGAGATATTCTCACTTTACTCTATTCTAGGATACATATTTTGATGGTTTTTTTTTTTTTTTTTTTTTTAAATCAAAACATGTTCTTTTGAACGCATTGCTGTAAGAAAACAAACGAAATAAAAAAAGTTATGTTTCATATTTAATCAATATGGATTCAATGTATATAAAACGCATCAAAATAATTTTTTGTAAAATAAATTTAATAGTTTGATTTTAGAGTCTTCAAAAAACACCCGATTTTGTATCCATCAGACTCTAAATTTTTCGCATCATCACCATAGTTGGCCAGACAGCCCAATGTGTTCTTCTGAAGATTATTCCAAAAAGACTTTTATGTATTTAATAATATTGGGCTGTTCATATATCTTGTACAGTTGAAAGTTAAATCTCCTTCTCTAGTTATTGTTTTCATTTACACCACCAAGTACACTCCACAAAATCTTTCACTCAAATATTGTGATACAATTTTCTTCCAGATTCGTCATTGTACAAGACAATGTCATTTTCTTTTCATCTAATAAACAGATAAATTTTCTTTTTCATTTAATGTTTAATAATTCACGTTGGAAAAAAACCGTTTAACTAATAATTCACATTGGAAAAATCGCTGTAAATCGAAAATGCAGCAAACCAAAAAACACAGTAGACCTTAGATTCTGAGGAGCAGGATTTTAAATAGTTGGAATAAAAAATGCTTACCAAGTCCTGTTTTTCAAAATTAGACATTCTTTCTACAATTGACCAAAACCATCTTTTGAATCTTAAGAGTCTATCTGCACCTTCAGCTGTAAAAATTAATAATTCAATTTAGCAATAATGCCAATGAGTTAAGAAGGAAAAAAACACATCTATGTAATTATTACAATACATAAGAAAAAGATTCTTCTCTGCTATGGAACACACATTTATTTTGGTCCAGAAAATTTAAACAATTTGGGTAAAAACAAAGGGTTTAAGGTTATTTTGATAATTTTGCAAAAGCATTTTAAGTATGAGGTGTTTTTTAATGATGAGCCTGCATTTATATAAAATTATCAGACATAATAATTATATCAGGAAAAGCTGCTGAAATTAATAGAAATGAAGGTAAAAGAATTTCATTTAATTTGTTGCTGTTTACAAAAGTCTGAATTCAAGCATTTCATTTTGCAGAGTTGCCCATGAAATGGATATAATGCAATGAAAACATTATCTTTATAATAACAAAATTATTGCCTTCTCAATATTTTAAATTACAAAAGCGTTTCTACATATAAATTAAAATAAACTTTTGGAAATACAGTATGGAAATTTAGAAATCCTAAAACCATAAAAAAAAGTTTGCATTTATATTAATTACAGTAACTAATAATTAAAGAAAAACAGAAAAGTTTTTTTCTTCAGTATCTGGAGAACAGAATCTTTACAGGAGAAATAAAATAATGGAGATTTTACAAGCGACATTTTTCGGGCTCTGAGTAAAGTTTTAATGCATCATGGGTCAAAAAGAGAAATCTAAAATTGGAAATAGTACAAGATTCAGCAAAGTAAAAAATATTTTATATAAATCTTAATCTAAAAAAGATTTTTTAAAACCATTATTTATAATTACTTAAATTATTAACACTCAATATACTCCAGTGCTGGCAACAGCACCATCTGTTGAGGAATAAGGGAAATATTTTTTTCCAACAGCAGGTTTTTTATCGTCTATTTTCTTTTTTAAATTTCTTCAACAAATACGGAGAAATTTGAGAATATATGGGTAAACAGGCGATAGTTGTAAAATACAGTAGTCATAGTTAAAAAACAGGAGACTTAGCAGGTATTCATTAGTATAAAAAAGCTTCCCCTTGGAGGTAGAAAAAAACTTACCACTTTCATCATTAAAAGAGGTGTAGCTAATTAAGGTTTGCACATTGATTTCACCAACACCATTTAGTAGCAAGCGAAAATCTTCGGCCGTAAGTCCATCGAAAGCACTTGAAGGCAGAACATCATAGACCCCTGAACGCAAAGACTGCAAAAGAAGAAAACAAATATATTTATCAACAAAAGTAGCATAGTCTTTCAAAGCACAATAACCTTCTTAACACATGACATTAAAAGATCAATTTTTCAATGCAGGTGGTAGTTAGAATTTCTATTTAGGAAAGGAGGGGGGCACCCTCTTTGGGTCTATTTGGTTATTCATATAACATTTATACTTACTTTTTTAATAATTATTATTTTACAAAGAATTACTCATAAAACATTAACAGAAGTGAAATAGAAGAATTAAAGAATAAGTTTGAAAAAAGATAAAATTTATCAACTGATAACATTGGGCCAAAAAGCATAAAACTGAATACCCCAGCGGCAGAGTTTTTTCGGGCTTTCTGCGACGTACCTCTTTAATACTAATAGCTTTCTGAAAGATACTTTTAAAAATAACAAATATACGTGTTACTAAATTAAAGTAATAGAAACGTCAGCTTAAAAAAAATAATAATTTTTTTCAGATTAAATAAAATAATTTTTGTAATTAAATTGAAATATCTTCAAGTGGTAGACGGATCACGGGTTAGAGTCCTCTTTCTGTCAGACTAACTGTGGGAGGTTTTCCTCTTCATGTCACGCAAATGCAGATTAGTTCAATCAAAAAGTCCTCCACAAAAGCAAATTTCTCCCAACACTTGATCCAGGAGCTCTCTTGTCTTCTGGTATGGATTCAAAATTACAAGGATACTGAGTTGAATATTAGTAGTCATAAACCCAAAAAATTGGGTCAGTTGTACAATAAAATAAAATAAAGAATTTTAAAAATAAGCTCGCACTGAATTTATTCAAACTAATAGTTTCTCGTGCCTCAACAAATATACAAGGAGTTAGATTTACATATGATGGAAATCAATATTTTTTGAAAATCAAAACATTTATTACACAGAGAGTTATCAGTAACCTATACTTACGTCCAAAGCTTTCTCTTGTGAACGAATCATCCTGTATTCTGCATATCTTCTGATATAGTCATAAACATTTTGAGCAGTAACTTCAATTTGGCTTCCTCCAGGTATCAATTCTATGCTCCCTCCTCCCTACGAACAAAACATCACTACAATTAGCAAATTACAACAGGGGTTTGCCACACAAATCTCTAAACGAAATTCCCATGTGTTTTCCCCATACATATTATACACAATATATTAAGAGGAAAAACATTATCACTGTGCTTTTGTATGACCTATATTGGGATAACTACAGTAGTTATAACTGCTGAAAAAACTTAAAAGAAAAAAGGAACAGCTGAACATACTTATAACAAATAATGCTTTAGTAAATGAACTAGTTTAATATAGCTGAAATATCATCCTTAAATATCCCACAGACTGCACTTTGAATGGTTAACATTTTTTAAAAGATGAAAATAAGAAACAAAATTCCCTGTATTTTCCCAGTTTCCAAAGGAAAACTCAAAATTCCATGTTATTTTAGGTGTTTTTTAAATTCCATGTATTTTCCAGGTTTTCCCTGTGGCGTGGTAATCCTGTACAACCATTTAAAAGATATCTAGCAGCAATGAGAATACAAAGAAAAAAATTTAAAAGAATTGTTTGGAAAATAATTAAGATAACTATCGCGGGCACAGCAAATTTACTACTGATATATTTCTTTCTTAAATGTTGCTACCTGGAGTAAAAAATTTAAATTTTATCAAAACTAATAATACAGTAGGGAACCGATTATCCGGAACAATCGGGACCATCGCCATTCCGGATAACTGATTTTTCCGGTTTACTGAATCGCTACAAAAAGCCGTTTTTTTAATTGTTAAACCCAACTAAAAAAAAAGAAATTATTTGGAAATAATCTTAAAAAGAAGAAAAAACGATGAAGTAATACTCTAATGATTATTTCCAAAATGATAGATGGTAAGGTAAACATCTTTCAAAAAAGAAAGAAAAATCCTAAAATCTTATGAGGAAAAAAACATTTTTTTAAAAAAAATGGCGGGAAAATTTATTGAATTTTTTTATTGAAGTTCCGGTTTTATGGTTTTCTGATTTCCGGATAACGGGTTCTGTACTGTAATATAATTTTAGTAAACATGTTTTAGTAGTATACTATGCATAAAATACTATGCATGTTTAGTTAAAATACTATGCATAAAAATAAAACAAATATTAAAAAATCTGAAAGACTAAACATATAAACTTTAGCTTAGTTAAAAAAAACTTATATATTAGAAAAAATTAGTGAATAACCCATTAATAAGCATCAATGAAATATTTAAAGACAGACATTTGTATCAATAAAGGAATTTTAAATTGATTAATTTTAATACATTTTGAAATGGGCTAAGTAACATTTTAGACGATGGGGTTATTTTTAAAAAAGAAAAGAAAAACAAAGAGAAAAGGAAAGCAATTGAGAGAAAGAAAAAGTAAATTAAGAAAATTGCAGTCTGAGAAAGAAAAGTATAATCAATCATCATTAAAATCAGTTGAAAGGCACAAATCAATAATTACGAAACTACAAAATCCCCCTCTACAAGATTTGTCATTTCATTTCCTGTAAATAAATCATGATCACTGAATTTATCAGCATAGGAATTTGATATAAGATAATAAAATGAGTTTCTATTTCATATGCTAAAAAATTACTGTATTCTCAAAGTTTGAACAATAAATCTTGAGGATAAATCATGTAAATGATTAGTGGACAGGCCCTAAATTTAAACTAGTATTAAATTTTACGATTTTAATTAGAGTATTATTGAAAAATAGAGGTTGGATCAAAAATTCAAAACTTTTGATTTTTCAACTCAATTATTTTAAAAATTGTATTTGTATTCATAGGAAGATGTATGCATTCTTATTTCTACTATTTTTATTATTTAATGTCAATTCTGTTAATTTTCTATCTATAAAATCTTTGATGATTAACAGCAAGTACTATTATAATTTATTTGTACAGTACCCAATTATCTGAATATTACATTTTTTATTTAATTAAATCTATATGAAAAGTACCACACAGGAAAACATAAATAGGATGTAATTATATTTCACTGACTTGTAGGGCATATAGTGAATATTCCACACAATAGTATAGTAACAACTTCAATTGAAAAACACAAATGCCCAGTGCCAGAATTTTTTCGGACTTTCTGCGACAAAACTCTCTAGCACTAATATCTTTTTGCAATGCACTTTCAATAATAGAGCACATGACCAAAGTTTTGGAGAGAGCCACCTCGAGACTTTCTCTAATGAAAAGAATAGTCCGGTCAAAATGGGGCTGCTGTAGAAATACCCTCGACATGACATGTAAATCTCATATGTTCTCCCTCATGACTTACTGCTGCGAGCCACTGGCGGTGACCAGCAAAAAAGTTCTTGACTCAATGGAAAGATTCCACAATCAGGCCCTTCGACTTATCACTAATCTTAAAACAACTCCGATTGATGCACTTTTATTATCTACCCACCATATGAACAAAACAAGTGTAGAAGAGTTCTCAGCTACAGATTTGTCTTTCATGTCTGCCATTGGGAAAAAAAAATTTAAAAAACTTTCAATAATAACAAAAATGTATGTTACTAAAAGATCTTACAAAAACACTGTGTTTAGAAAAACATAAGAACAATAAATTTTTTTAATTGAATATGTAATATTTTTTTTATTCCAATATTATGGGCGATATTCTTGCATTTTGTTGGGGGAGGGGTGGGGGTTACTCAAATGCAGTTTTACATTTCAAGATTTGATTGTTGCAATAAATAATATTGTATAAAAAATATTGGGTTTTAAAAGTATGTGGGAATCAAAAGCAATAACTGCAACAAAAAAAAATCGATAAAATGATTGCCCTAAAAAGTAAATGATCAAATGTGCAATTCCAATTTCCCATATCTCCTGAAATACATCCGGATATCTAAAAGCCATGTGAAAATCAATGTCAATAACTGTCGAAAATACAATCAAAATAGACTTACGATATCGACATAAATTGAGCGCTTCAGAAAGTGATTATTTAAATGTGAAATTCAAATTTGGAGTGGAAATTTCTGCTGAAAAGCAAACCAAAATTTTTTACATCACGAAACAAAAATCTTTCTGCAAGAACTCAGTAAGGTAAGGTTCCATATGTGATATAGACACATATCATAAACTTAAACCAATGCAAATAAATTTTAAAAAAATATACTTACTTCTTCAATGCAAAGGTCAATGCAGAATGTAAGATCAAGGGAAGAAAAGATATTATTTTCCTTTCCTTCTGCATCCACTACAACTTGTCTCAAGGACTCGTAAAGCACTGGATCGAAAAAAGCCAAATCGTGCCAGCCGATGCGCCGACCTATAATGTACTTGATCACGTGTCGATTCAGGTAAATTGGACACAGTTCATTCTGAAGCAAACACAATCCAATGACGCGACCGACGTTCCGGAATGCATTCATTCTTTCTGCGGAACACTTTCCCTGACGTGGTGAGTAGAACCCTCTCTTTCCGGGCTGGTAGAATATGGGGCAGTTTTCGTCTATGTCCTCTTCTTCGTCGACGTCTTCAATCTTCCTGGTGATCGGAGTTCTTCGAGAACCCAAATTAAATACATCCAAATCTAGTAAGGCATCGTCGGATGAATCCCTACAATTGCAAAGATTTTAGGTTACTAAATCTATTTACTAAGGAATTTAAAAAAAAAAAAAAATTTATATGTAAATAAATTTTTAAAAAAAAGATTACTAGCTATGCCATATTTAATAATATAGAATAAACTGGTCAGCTATTATAAAAACTTCATTAACAAACTTAATTTTCTTTTTTTAAGGGATCAGCGCCATTCAAATTAAAGAAGTATTTTTTAGTACATTAAAAGCACAACTAACCGGAATCTGAGGGATGTAGGTAAATTTCAGACATTTGAGGACAGAAAATCTCAATTAATCTCAGAAAATCTCAAAGTAACTTATTTTCTAGAAATAAATTCCACAAAAAAAATAGCACAATCCACACTCATGCAAAAATTAATAATGAAATAATGATAAGAGAGAAAAGGGCAAATATGATAGTTTTCCATAAAAATTATCACAGCTATCTAATATATATATATGTATGTATGCATATAATATCTGAAATCGCAATTATATGATATATAAATATAAACTGCTAAATGGGAACAACTGGTAAGAGAGGAACATAAAAAAATTATTCCACCTGTCTCGATTGTTTAGTGCCAAATTTCTTGTTTTCTTACAACGTTTTAAATTTATTCAAATTTCTGCTGTAAATTCAAGTTACCTCATATTTACAATTTTTCTTTTGTGTGAAATTTGATTGCACTTTTCAGCATTTGATTTAATGGCAGTCTTTTGCATTTTTTACATTTATAAACTTTCATCTCTTTCATTGTCTAATTTATTAATTGCTTTGCATATAACCCATATTTAAGATGAAGGAACAAACTTTAAAACTTTAATTAAAATACATGCAATTTCTCATTTTGTTTCCACAGCACACACACATATATACAGAGCTCATTCTAGGCAAAAAAAAGGGCAGGGTGCAAAAGGTTTTAAAAAAAGGGCATTATTATTCTAAAAAGGCAATAATTTCTTTCTATGGGCTNGGAATAGCATACGTCTCAACATTTCCCTGTCTCGCCTACCCTCAAAGATTTAACCCCGATTTTCAATGCTGCACTGGGAAATGTCTCGGCCAATTAAGAAATTAAAATGGAGAAATTATCCGAAAAACTATTTAGATACATATACAGTGCTCCAATATATATATATATACACACACACACAATTAAAGATACAAATACAATAAAAATGACAATTGAAGAAAAATATAAAATTCCCAAGTTGTGACAGCGTTAAGCTGCTAATAACACAACTGGAAGAATATTTTAATGAATGAATGCTCCTTGTATTTTCCAGGTTTTCCCAGTGGAGTGGCAACCCTGAGCAATTAATGATATTATTTTTTAACATCGTTTATATCAACCATTAACAAAAGTATGAAATATCACATTTTCTGCAAGATTTAATAGGATTAAAAAATCCCTGACAATTCAATAAAATTAATTCTTCCCCTGACTTTTATTTCTGATCACATTTTCCCAATATTCTCGGTGTGTATAAACCCTGTTTACAGGTGTAAACGCATATAGCTTAATTTTAATTAAAAAATTGAAATTATACCTTGTATGAGAGAGAATGATGTCTGTTGCTTCATCAATTTTCTGACGAAGTGCATCATCAGAAGCAAGTAACATCAATAATTGTGCTGCAGAAAGTTCCAAAAGCATGCCAGTAACTCTGCTGGCTAAGTTCTAAAAAGAAATAATATCTATAGGCATCTGAGTAGTTTAAAATAAAAATGTAAAAATAAACAAAAATCAGTACATTTTATGGTGCAATACATACTAACTTGGATGATTTTAAGAAGGGGAAGGAGAAGAAAAAACGCAATCTACTTTTAAATTTTGTTTTGTATGGCATATTTCATAAAAAAAAGGAGGAAAAAAAACATGGGCAATAATCAACATTTTTAAAGGAAAAGTTAAGATAAGAACTAGATTATTAGAAATGACTTTAGAAAACAGAGCAATTTCTCAAATTCTTTAAGCATGACCAAAAGTCTTGGAACTTGACTTTGATTTTCAGAAACAAATTCCTCAAATAAGATAGATTGAAATAAGTTTTTTTAAAAAAACCCTATTATTTACTCTGATTTTTATGCAACAATAAATTATTTCAAAACTAAATTATATATACTTTACATAATAAACAAATAAGAAGTAATGCCTTACATCATAATCGAGATACAAATATCATCAAAATAAAAGGGGGGGAAACTAAAAAATTAAACAATTACTTTAAAAGTATTTTCGACCTTGCAATAAATGAACTGAAATTTATATGAAATATATACAATGCTTTCACTGCAATTCAATGGACAAGAGAAAATAAATCACTACTCTTATCTGTTCATAAGTTTACCTTTGACACTAATTAGCAACCAGTCATATTAAGAAAAAAAATTTGACCGCAAAATTTTTGTTTCTTTTTCTTAAGATGACCATAGACAAGACCAGACAACTAGTCTTCTGTTGAAAATTAAATTGTAATCTACATTCAAAGAATTCTACAATAAACTTTTTTTATAATGTGTGTACACGTAAGGATACATTTAAAGTATGTAGTTGCCATTCAGTTTTGTCAGTTAGCATGAGATAAAAACAACTATAACTTTGATTCTAAAGACAGGAAAACAAAAATTGAAAGATACCTAAAAAGTTCAAAAGTAGAGAACTAAAAAAGAAAACCTTGAAATATTTGACAAAATGGTCCATTTTTAACCAGTTAAATATCTTAAATGGTTACATAATGACGACAAAAGTAGATAATTTAGTGGTGAAAAAACTATATAAAGTAAAATAAAAAGGTCCACAGATTCTCTTTTATTTTCCACTGCTATAAATTAAACCAAATTCGACCATCAGAATATGTCTCAAGATCAATAATTATGTTTTTAGAAAAAATATTGGACATATAGGCACCTCAAAACAATTTCCTTTTCCTTATTTCTACAGTATCTTAATTTCTTTTTTTAATTTTTTCAGATTGACTAAATTTCGTGACTTCGCAATGATTTTCCTGTTCTGTGGCTAGCCTGATTTCTGCTTTTACTTTTCGTTACAATTATTTTGTTATTGTGCGTACCTTCATTCTTCACCTCAGCACACAGAGCACTTCTGCTAATAAACATCATATACTTTAAGAAGAACCTGCTCTTAATAATGCACAATTAGGAAAGCAGTCAAAGATTAAATTGCATGTAATTGTGAATAGTTCATGATTAATTCTTGTGCCAGGACTGAGGTGACAATTTTCATTGATATTAAAGCAATTCGGAGAAGCAAAACCAGGGTACGTAGCCAAATTTTATAATAAAATAATAATCACTTTTTAAGCCCTTTAAAAATATTTTAATCACTTTCCAAAAAAGAATATCATAAATGAAATCTATGCAGCAATAAAAAATAAAAAAATTCCTATTGCTTAAAGTTCTTAATTTATAAACATTAAGTCAATAAAATTTAGAGACTTTAAGTAATCAAGATAAAATAAGTAGTTTCTGACAAATACTGCAGAGGAAATTTGTGAAAATGATTATTTTTTTTTGTTATTTAGAATGACAATCGATACCGCAAAGAAAAAACTTCTTTTTAAAAGGTAGAAAATCAAACACTTTTTACAAACCTCTAATAAAAAAGCACCTTTAAGGGTTTTTAAAAAACGTCAATCAAAAATAAGCACCTTTTAAAAATGCTACCCAGCCTGAATACTTATAAGGAAGGCGAGGTAAAAGTTAAAATTGAGACCAAAAGTTTAAAACTCTTAAAAAGTATTTAACATGATTTTTCATGAACACATATTTCATTACAATGACTGAATGCTACAAATTTTTCCGACCACACTTACTGGCGTGAGGGCGCGTACTCTAGGATACAGCCGCTGTCCTAGTTGTTGTCGATGAGGACTCAGGTGTTCATTTGTGCCACTACTACCAGCTTCTCCGGGCATGACAAAGGGAGGAGCATCATAACGCAGTGCAAGAGGTGGATCTCTTTCTTTTGTATCCCTCATTCTTGGTGAAGAGTTTTGAGAAGATTTCTTTTCTCGCTCCCTCTCTCTAGTACGCAAGCGTTGTATCAGATCTGTAACAAATGTGGGCGGCTCTAAAAAATTGCAAGAATAAAAAAAAAAAGAACTTGAGTTTTAATTTGATATTGACAAATTTAGGTGTAAAAAATTTTTAAAAGTTTGGCATGTGTTTTAACAGCAATATAATTTCAAAGCTTTTGATATTTATCAATACACACCAAATCCTAAATTTAACTCACTGTACTGTACAGATCTAGTACCGACTTGACAGCTCTCCAAATTCGGCAACCTTTCAGATGAAAGCACAGCCTAATTTGAAAAAAAAGGAAGAAAAAATAGATTAATTGAAACAATTTAAAAGATGGGAAAATTTGCACTAAAAATAACAGGGCCGTGGAATCGGAGAAATTGGCTCAACTCTGTCAAAAATTAGATTCTATATATTATAAGATGAAAAGATATATTTAATCTTTTGAAGATTTTGATAAAAATCTCAAAGATCTAATTTAAAAAACAAAAATTAAATTTAATTAAAAATTTCACTCAATCTGAAAAAAAAATTAAAAAAAACAATAGATTAATTGAAACCATTTAAAAGATGGGGAAATTTGTTTAAATATTAACAGGGCTGTGGAATCGGAGAAATTGGTTTAACTCTGTTAAAAATTAGATCCTGTATATTATACGATGAAAAGATGCATGTGATCTTTTCATCTTGTATAGTAATAGGAGAATTTTGATAAATATTTAAAAGATTGAACAAAAAAAAAAAAATATGAAAATATAATGATCAGGGATAACACATTGATAACTTTAAAGACACAAAAGAAAAACCCTCTAAAAATCTAAAAAAATTACTTTCATATAAAAAAAAATGATGCTCAATTTTTTAAAAACATAAGCTTTTCTTTTTTAAAAATATATAGATAAATTCCACATACATTTAACAAAAACTATGAACAGAATTTTATTATTTTTACTAAGTTCAGAAGTTTATTGATTTTTATTAAATTCAGAAGAAATCTCATACTTGAATTGTAGATAAAAAAAATTTATCACTTTCTCAGTAATGAACTTCAATTAAATACAAGTCAGACTCTTAGAAAAGTTAAGAGTTGGAGCTATCGACTCCACAACCATAAAAAAAAATAATGGAAAAACAAAAATGTTCAAAATTATTTCATTTTATAATCGGGTTGGGTAATTAAATGTTAACATTCCACATTAAATATGGTTTGAAAACAAACCTCAGCTACAGCAGTATAAAAACTCCTTGCAACCCCACTTCCTTCTCCTGGTTCATCTTTGAAGGTGACCTTCACTCTTGAAACAGTTAACGGGGGAGTGCCACCAGAGTTGCGACGTGCATAGTTATTGTACTGTGTATTCAGTTCTTTAAAAGTATGCTGCAAAAGTGATGTTCGATCTCTTTCCACCTAAAATAGTGATGTTATAAATCATTAAGAAAGCAAATTTTAAAATTTATCAAATTATTAGGCCAGATCATAACATATTTTTCATTAAAACAATTAGTCTGGGGATATGGTGCAACATTAATGATTTTAGATTTTGATACAGGGTGCATAACCAAATCTCTTAATAAAAAATAAGCACCTCTTAAGTACTTTTAAAGCACTCAAAAAATATTTCTAAGCACTATATACATTAACAAAATGCAAAATAATTTTTAAAGACTTTACATAATCATGATAAAATAACTAGTTTCTGGCAAAGAACTCTCTTCTTGATTATATTAGCCATTATAAAATGCTCGAGAGATTTTTCAGTTCGATATGAGAGGGTGGAAAATGCACATGTCTGATTACAAGTCTGAAATTGAGAATAACAGAGTTGCACATGTGAGTGCAATAATCTCACCAAACTCAGCTCAGTAGAAGCACATGCGGACTTGTAAGTATTTCATCAAACATCTCAAATGATTGACGCTTTCATATGCTATGCACCGATGGTAAGCCGAAATAGATAGTTGAATGAATTGTGAAAATGTTGAATACAAAAATGTGTAAACCACACTTTTGCATAATATGTGGCAAAAGTCAAAAGTTGCCATGGTAAAGAAAAAAATCTCATTTCTTAAAAGAGAAAATTAAGCAATTTTTAGAAACGCTCAATGAAAAAAGCCCCTTTAAAGGCTTTTAAAAATCAAAATTCATTTATCCGGAAAAAAATTTCAGATAAATTTAAATAATTAAAAACATTGGGAAAAAAAATTTTTTTTTTTTTTTTTTACCACATTACAAATACAAAAGTCTATTCAAGCATGCATTTTAATATTAAAAAATTTGATCATAGAATTAAATGTATAAAAAAAATATTCTTGCTATTAAAATAAATGCAAGTTAAATACTTAGATTAAAAGAAAATATACAGGGTTAAAAATAATTAAAATTAAAACAAAACTCTTTCAGCGCAAAATAAGATAAGATTCGAATTCTCAAGACTATGTAATTCCGTATCATCATTATGTATAATTATGCCACTTCATAAGTATTGTGAGCAAGTATAGTTTTGAGATAACATAAAATACAGACACTCCATAATATAGTGCATAGATCTAATATAGACATAGATAAAAGTTACTGCTTAACAGTGGAATAAATAAAACACTAACCTTGGTTAAAGTAAGATCTCTTTGCTGAGAGCTTCTCAATTTTTCCATTTCTCTACGAAATCTCATTTCTTTTACAGGAAAGCCGCCTAAATCTGTAATGACAGAACCCGGTTCTGCACCAACATCATCAACAAATATGCGGCCAAAGAGCTCCAGGGAAAGGCGCCAACGACCCAAAAGCATATCGTGAGAAAACATCTGGCTGATAGAATTAGAGGACCTAGAAATCATAAGCAATTGTCAGAAATTTAACGAAAGTGAATATTAAAATGTAAAGTGAGCAAAAAAAAAAAAGAGTGAGCAGAATACGATAAAATATTATGCAACCTTAAAGCATCTTTAATAAGCTTTTTTAGACAAATTTAAGTTTCTCTTAAATATTTATAAAATTAAGAAAAATTATATATAATAATTAAATGACAGATAGAAAGGCCATGTTCTAATTTCCCACCATGTCTGGTTGGAAATTACTCCTTGTTCATGCAAATTTTTACTGCGAGAATACAAATACAGGAATATTTTTCTTTAAACCAATATTGAAAAGAAGAAAAAAATTATCCTCATTTTTTACACTATATTTCTGTTTTGCAACCACATCAAAATTTTCCCCAAATAAAATGCATCTTCCAAGACATCTATAATTTGTGTGTTCAAAAGAATTTATACCAAATACTGAAAATAAATTTTTCCCTGACAACTATTTATGAATTAAATAAATAATCCCAAGAAACTGAAGCGATAAGATATTACCTGATTGAAAACTTCATTTCAAGCACTTCAAAAATAAAGAAATAAAAAAACTTCAATTTGCCAATCAAATACGGAAAAATAAGGGTGAGAAACTGGAGGAAAAAATTGAGAGAGAGAGAGAGAAAAAAAGAGGAAAAACATAAAAAGAAAAATCAGAGTGGTCGTGAGGCAAATCAGGGTAAAATGCATTTCCACGTCTTATGAAAAGGAGGGAAAGAGCTAATGTCGTTAATAAAGGAAACAACATTCAAATGAATATTTTAAAGAAGAGAGTCCAGGGCAAAGGATGAGCTGATGAAATCAGGATGGAAATAACTTTAGCATTGTTCAAATTGAATTTATGCCCAAGATTCCAACAATATGAAGCAATTGAAGATTTCCCAAAGTCTTGATAATGGACATTCTTTAAGCCTAAATTTTAAAGTATGTTTAGTTTGCTGGATGTAGCCAAGGTCATATTGACAAGAAATGTGGTAAATGAGCTAGATACATAGACAAGAAATGTGGTAAATGCACTAGATACACAGACAAGAAATGTGGTAAATGCGCTAGTTCCACAGACACGTCTTTGATCAAGAAATCTTCAATTGCTTCACATTGTTGGTATCTGGGGCATAAATTCAGTTTTGAAAAGACTAAAATTATTTCCATCCCAGTTACCTCAGCTCATCTTAATGACCTTGAATCTTGCTTTATTCATTTGAATGCCGATTCCTCTGTGAACAACATTAAGTTTTCTTAAACCTGAAAATTTAAATTTTCAGTTAGTGAAAAAAAATTTCAGTTAGTACAAATAACTTGAGCCACTTTTTCCTCAAATCTAATGAATTGGTGACCGATATCTATAATGTCAATTTTTACAATATTATTTTGCTTGGGGATAAATTATATTTTTATAAAAAATCCTATTAAAAATAGTTATGTACGAGCAGTCTACTGAAAAATCCAGTAGAGTTGGCAGCTATGCATTATTATAATAAAAGTATCCAGATAAGAAGATGGAAACAGTAAAAGTGCTTATGTAATATTTGCCTCGAAACTCACGTGTTCATGAATGCTTCTTCTGACATGCACATTAAAAAATACAAAAATCTTCAAGCTCTGCTGATAACACATTATTAATTAACTTTTGAAGTACTTCAAAAATTTTTAATATTTCAATGAAAATTTAAGCAAGGAAAAAAAAAAGTAAGAAAACAAAATAAGTTAAACTCAACCATGGGACAAGAGCATTTAAATGAAGATACCTATTTTGAGAATACTGTCCAACCGCTGGATCAGATGCTGCAGTATCACGTGCTAAGCTTGCAGTAGATGTTATTGTTGAGGTTGCAGTAGTAGAGGTGACCGTAACCTCAGCAGCAGGACTAAGGGTAGATGTATACCCAGTGGATACATTAGATTGTAAATCGGGGCTCTGAAAGAAGAAAGTTTATAAATGAAAATCAAGAATCAAAGAAATGTTGAAGTAGTAAATCACAAAGAAATTAATAACTAGCAAAAGTAAAATTGGTTGAAAGTAGGTGATAAATATTAGACTTTTCTTATCAGGGGTGTTTGCCGAAGAGAGTGAAAAACCCTGAAAATCTTATGAACAAAAAATCAATTTATATATCATACATAGGGCCCTATAAATTATGCGAAATTTTTTTAAAAATAATGAGGTTAGGATGCGGCGATTTTTAAAAATTATGCGGCAAGGATGCGGTGTCTTTTAAAAATTATGCATGCAGAAGTTAGTCTAGAAGCTGCGTTTTCTTTCAAACTCTGCCTTTTTTTTGTAAAAATTTGGCCGCAGAAGGATACAGCTCAATCACAATCTACTGAATTAGGAAGCACTGAGAGCACTTGTCTTGCTTTCTTTGTAAGTTCTGGAAATCTCTCTGAGACTACCTCTGAATTCCAGAGTCTAATTAAGTCCTGGTTTGAACATTCTTTTACATATTCTTTGTAAGCAGCATACTCGAGTTTTATATCTTCACCACTCATTCCTGGAATATTCTTGAATACATCGTCGTCTTCAATATTGATGTTGACTATTTGTTCTTGATCGAAAACTCGAGCAGCTTTCATGAAGTTGAATGCAGATTGACTAAACTTGGGCCCGCGTTTTTTGAATACGTCTAGTTCTGGAGAGTAGTAAGTATTCAACTTTGCAATTGTTTTGTGAAACACTTCTTGAAGAAATACGTTGCGTGAATCTTTTCGTGAGTATGATGCCCGAGAATTACATCGAAATTTAGATCGCAGATCAAAAAGCTTATTGTAAGCTTTGTGAATAGATACACATGTTTCGAAAAAGAGAAGAGTATCCATTAATATCTGAGCATGTTCGCAATGAACTGAAAGTCTTTGCAAACGTACTTGCTTTCCACCAAAACTTTGCACTGATTGAGACATGCAGTGTCAGGAATAAGGTTTATTTCACTGCTAAAAAATTCTATCTAAACATTACAATATTCAGCATGATATTGCACTGATTTAAACCAGGAATTCCACCGTGTCTTTATTAGTGCTGGACAAAGTTTAGCTTTCTTATTGTCATCTGTTAAAAACTTTAAATAGCGACGCTTTCTTGCAGGACAATGCTTGAACAATTTCTTAAAGTTTCCTGTGAATTTGTCCACCTCTCTCAGATTCTTGGAAAGATCTGACGACCTGATCAAAAAGATTCTTGGAATTGAAAAAGATATATTTCAATTGAAAAAAAAACCCTTAAAGAGAAATTTATCTGGTAAATGAATACATTTTGCTGAAAAATAAAAATTATACAGATATGCTGCGATTACGCGGAAATTGTAAATTACGCGGATGATTGTGAATTATGCGGATAATTGTGAATTATGCGGGTTTCCGCATCTTCCGTATCTTCGCATAATTTATAGGGCCCTAATCATACATGTTTAATATTTAACATAACTTTACGAACTAACATTTATAATTAAATTACCTACTAATGCAGACGACACCTTTAGAGTAACTAATTCAAGAAAAAAACTTACTTCTAACAAGAATCGCAAAACTGGATTTCAAAATCGAGTGAATATCAATCGCAATATTGGATTTAAAAAAAGCGAAAATACAAATTGCCATATTGAATTTTTAAATCGCGCAAATATGAATCACCGCATAATTATTAGATCGCATGAATACGAATCTAAATGCATAGTTTCTTAAATCATGTGTAAATGCGAAAATTTATGTTTGATATCACAAATGCATGAATACGAATTTGTATTATGTACACTGTGTTTTAAATTCTCGTAAACACAAATTGTGATGTTTGGTTTAAAAACACGCAATTGAACAAATTGCAACAAAACAAATTGCAAATCATAATGGATTTTTAAATTGCGTAAATAGGAATTGCAATGTACGACATTTAAATAGCGTGAATAGGAATTGCAATGTACGACATTTAAATAGCGTGAATAGGAATTGCGATGCATATTTAAATCAAGTGAATGCGAATCGCGGAATTTTGCGATATTCCCGAGGTGCCCCTGGAGTTCAATCACCCATCATATTTTGATCATGGATAATTTTGACAAATATTAATTTCCCTTGAATAAACAGTACTAAAAATGAAAATATCCTGCAAAGTAAAAAAGAACATGCTTCATTCATGTTAAGCCAGCTAAGATTTGATAATAGTCTCTTAAGCAGAAAAGTTACATGTTCCCTGAAACAAATTAATAAAAAAAGTAATTTTAGATTTACATTAAAATGTTAGCTTAATTTATTAAAATCTTGAATTACCGTGGATGAAGGTTGGCGTATGCAGCCAGCATGAACAATGACACTTGATTTAACAGGACTTGGTCCATCTGCTTTTTTGCAGGGTCCAGCAACGATAATTGGAGCTCTAGATGGCTCTGATAAAGATCTACCTACAAAACCGTCAGACTCAAACTCTACAGCATCAGTAGAAATTCGATCATTTGCAGTCATTGAAATGGCAAATTCTTGCCCTTCAAAGCCAGATCGACTAGGAGCAGAACTATTGGACAGAGACTCATCTCTGCTGTCCATATCGTCGATATTCGGCAGGGGAGCTTCACCAGGGCCCCTGGAAGCATCTTTTTCCTCAAATTCACTTGGTGGTAGTGGTGGGGGTGATCCTCTAGGAAGAGGAGGCAAAAGTGGTAGGCGAGATGGCACGGTGAGTTTCTGTGAATCTGCTGTTCTTATTGACAAGCCCAATTTGGTTGGTACGGATTCAAACTCCCCATACAAAGAACAATCGGGAGTTGTAGCAAGGGGGTCGGGAGGAACCGTGTATGACTTAGGAGCTCCGAAAAGATCCTCTTTACGGGAAGTCGGCTGAAGCAGATGAGGTTGGTCAGCCAATAAGAGAGTGTCCGACAGTGGAGAGTTGAAAGGATCTGGGGGTGGGCAACCGAGAAATAAAGTAGAGTCTGAACGCTGGAAGAAAGTATGTTTACGTCCTTTTGCAGAAATGTGTCCGTCATCTTCAGCTCCATCAACATCCATTGGCAACTGAGAACTGTTTTCCTCTTCTTGCTCTTCATTATCATTTTCATCCTGAAAGCACATTTTAAGAACAGGCAATTGTTCATTTTGAAAGATGATTCAACAAATTATTTTACAGAAATCGAACGTAAAAAAAAATAAATAAATAAATGATTAAATAAAATAAAAAAGACACACAAAAATCTAAAATATATGAAAAAAAATTAATCTTTTTAGATATATTTTACCAAAATTAATATAATTGATATCCTAATACATCAGTCTTAATTATATATATTGCATATTTTCAATAACAAGGGTCTGCCTAGGTTTTTCTCAGAGGTACCTATTTTGTAAATATTAAGATATAATTTGTGAAAAATCAAAAATTATATTTTAAAATCTACACAAAAATATGGTAAAAATATGGATTTATCGTTTCTTAAGGGATACAAAAATAAAATTTTAAGAAAAAGTATTTTGGGAAACTACCATTTTTCCTAAAATTGAATTCGTGAAACTACCATTTTTCCTAAAGTTGAATTTGTGAAGGTACCGCTAAACGGTAGTAAATTCGGCCTGGACAGACCCCTAAATAAGTAATTATTTTATTTAAATAAATTTGTTGATAAGTAAGCTAGTAATGAGAAGAAAAAAAAAATACTTTCTAACTTACTAATGAGGACACAAAGCAATAGATGCTTTAACTTATGAACTATAACTTAAACAGTCCAAATGCAATGATGTCAAGTCAGTTACTTTGATTGTTACAGAAGATTCAGAAAATGGCTGTATTATTTCTTTCTGTTTAGCTATCAGGTGTAGGAAAAAGTTAAACTTTTTCAAGCTTTGGCGAACAATACAACTAGCAAAGTTTATATACATAGAAATTTTTAATAATAAGAAAATTTTTTTTATTAGTGTGCATATTCTAATCATATTATTATTATGGTTGAATAAATTATAAAAACATTGATTAGAATAGTGTGAAAACAACGCTTTTTGCATAATTCGTGGCAAAAACTGAAATTATAAAAAAATTTCTCATTTTAGAAAAGGGAGCACATTAAGGACTTTTTAAAAACATCCAGTGAAAAAAAAGCACCTTTAAGGGCATTTAAACAACTAAATCGAAAATAAGTACCTTTAAGTACTTTTTAAAAACGCTACACACTTTGTACTATATATAATGAATATAAGCAACAAACCTGATCATTCCAAGAATCTAAATTTAAACCTTCTCTGACAACTTCTGAATCTGAACTGTCCATTCCAGAACGGATATAATACACCAATCCATCAAACACATAAGCAACATGCTTTAAGGCATTCACATCCAAGCAAGGCAATGAATCAAAATGCTCACTGTTGTGTGCTCGCATTAGGGATACTGCATATGAGAGAAAATCTCGACGAGCAAATGTCCCATCAGTAGCTATAGTAAGCAAGAGATTAAGGCAATACTATTTAATTTTAATTTAAAAGCCTCAGAAAAAAATTATAAATGTAAATAAATATAAATAAACAAATGTAATGTCATTGAAGGGTAAGGATAAAAGAACTTACCCTTCAAGGACATTAATAACTTACAGTCATTATAAATGTAAACAACAACAATCTCGATCTTTTGACCTGCTCTACTTCCGGTTAGACAGTATGCAGCTGCTTAGAACAACTTATTTTGCGAGGCGATATTTTCAAACAGATAATTTTGTTTTTAATAAAAGAAATAAATTATATAATTTTTGAGCTCAAATCTCCAGTATTTTTTAAGATATTAATGATTTTAAGTAATTCTGGTGAGTTTCAAGTGAAAATTTGTTTTATTTATAGTTTATTATTATTTTATTTGTTTTATTATTACTATTTTAAAAAAACCTGCGGGTTTCAAACAAATTTTAACAAAATGAGGTTGCGATGAAAGGGTTTTTAATTGAAATTTTGTGTTTGCAGAAAGTTTTTCATTTTATCGAATTCTGCTCTTCAACAGTGAGAGGGTTGCCACTCAAATCTGGAGGGAAAAAATCCCCTGTACATATACACAATATATTAAGAGAAAACACAACAATTACTATGTTCTTATACGCACTATATTGTGCTAACTATATTTATTAGTTTTTTTAATTGCTGGAAAAAAAAGGAACAGCTTAGCATACTTAAATAATGCTATAGTAAATGAAATAGTTTAGTATGGCTGAAATATCATCCTTAAATATTCCATAAATACAGGGAAAATTACTTGTAATTTTCTTAAATTACAGGTAATGTTCGTGAAGGAAACAAAATCAAAATTACTTGCATTTTAACTGTTATATTAGATGATTTTTAAATTCCCTGTATTTTCCAGATTTTTCTTGTGGAGTGGCAATGCTGTTTACAGATTAAAGAATTAATAAAAACTTTCATGTGATTTTTGTCTCAGAAGAAATGTTTTTAAAGTTAATTTAAAACAGTCATAAAACATATATAGTAGCAGCATATATAACATATATAGTAGTAGATAAACATATATTGTAGGGTGACCTGGGGTAATTCCTGATCAAAAAACGCAAACATCTATTTTGTGAAAAAACTATTCAAAATAGAATTTTAATATTTACTGGAAGTTTGACACTATATGAGATGCGTCCTATGAGAAACGAAAGTTAATTG